CAACTTTTTTGATAGATAGAATTAAATATTCTTTAAAAGTATTATTATTATCTACTATATAATCTTTTTTAAAAATAATTATATATAAATGCACTTTCTTTTATTAATCTCTAAGTGTATATTATTAAAAATTAACTTCAAAAGCATAACTTATAAAGGTTTTACTATATTGGTATTAATAAATAATCTAAAAGTATTAAATATTAGAATTAATATAAGTAAATTATACTTTTTTTGTTTTTATTATTATTCTGATTATTCTCTTTGCTATTATTATTTAAAATTTCTTTTAAATTTTTATTAAATAATTTTTGAAGATATATAATTAAATTGATTAATTTATCTTTTAAATTTTTAAAAAATAACTACTGCAAAATTACTGACTAAATACATATAAAATAGAAACATTAATCTTTTATAGATCAGTTATATAATTATCTATATTATTATACAATTTATTGTATTAATTTATTATAAAATCTAATACATTTTTACTACATTTTAACAATTTTATTTTATCTTCTTTAATATAAACTTTGCCTGAGCAGTTGTATTAAAAAGTCTATTAAAATCTCTTTAATAAGTAATTCCAAATTGAATTTTTTATCATTATTATAAATACTATAGATATTATTTTTTTTAATTAGTCTTATTACTGTGTTATTTCTTCTAAAGTTGATTTACTTAGAATTATAGATAAAATTAGATAATTATATCTGATTTTTTAAATTTAACAAGAAAAACAATAATGAGGTATTAATAAAAAATCAATTTGTGAAATAGATTTTATTTTTTTATACTATACACAAGCTTATATTGAGTCAATTGAATTTTATATTCTAAGAAATAATCTAATATTATTATCTTCTGGTATTTTTGACTATTTTCACTATTATTATTTTTAAAATATGGTAGTCTTCTACCTAATATATTTTTACATCACATTTTACTGTTTTGAATGCAAGAAAAACATCCTTAAAATCAATCCAATACTTAGATGGGTCAGGTTGATTTGATTATTTTAGCCCAGATAGTTAATATAGTCAACTTTTATCAAATGCAATATAACCTTTTTGACTCATTGTTGTCTTAAAAAGTAAATTTTGAATCTGTGTTTTTATTATACACAATTTATTGTATTCACAATGTTTTGTTCAAAACTTTTATAGCTGTTTTTATAATTTTTAGTATACTTAATAAAATTAGCTAAATTTTTTGGTTAAACTAGTTAAGTTATTATTCAATATAATAACTTCAATAAAAATTAATATAATATATATATGTATTTTAAAGTAAATTGTGCACCAAATAATTTAACAAGCAATGCAAGTTTTGCTTCAATTAGGTTGTAGTTTTATATTCATGTTAAAATTAATTGTAGATCTTCCAAATTTATTTGATAATTGGAATTGTATATGTAGGTGGCTTTATTACTAGGTTGATATAGTAAGTTAGTAAGTAATTATTATTTTAGTAAGATATTTATTGTAGATTATTTATTGATTATTTGTTTTTTATAAATTTAACTAGTTCTTTTTTTTTCTTTTTTTTTGCACAAGTGTTTATTTTAAGTGATCTAAAAAATGAATAAAATAAATAAATTATTGAAAAAAAATAATAATAAACTTTTTATTATAGCCAACAAAAAATTTAAATCTATTAAAAGCCAGAAATTACAGTGCTTTAATTATTGCTTAAATAAATATTTTATATATGTAAAAAAACTACAAGTATATATATATGTGATGGCTAAAAATTTATAAATACAACCTGAATATGATAAAAATTTTTGGGGCATGCTTAGAGCTATCTTGATAATCAGTGTACACAGCTCATATTGTGCTAATAAGATAATAATAAGATAATATAAAATTATTTTATGAAATCCTTTCCGCATTAGTGTAAAAGAAAATATGACTAATTATGAGAAAGATCACGACTAATAATTAAGATGCCAATAAAGAAAGATAAAGGGGCATTAAGAGTAGAGTGTACACAAAGTAATCATATGGTTGATCATTTTACAATAGTACATCAATTGATGTTATTTATATTGTACTACCTAAGAAAATCTTGTACTACCTAAAAAATTTACTAATAAAAAATCAAGTGATTATCATGTGATACTCTCTACCCTTAATATATTATCACTGTATAAATTAATATAATATTTATATAAGTTTTATTTGTTATTTATATAAATATAAAAATTATATAAATTCTATTTATATCTACATAAAAATGAATTAATTTACTTTGCTATTTCTCAAAAATGGCTAAGGTAATCAGTGTTTGATATGCTAAGTAAAAATGTTCAGCAGGCCAGTAAACACTTCCCAAACCCCTAATTTAAGCTTTAAAATCCATTTCTAGCTTTAATATTTAAGTTGAAATTTTTCAAAATTTTACATAACTCTACATAGATAATACAGATTTATATAAATATCTATGTAAATCTACATTGGGTTCATAAAGCTACATAAAAATTCTACATAACTCTACATGAAAATTCTACGTAACTCTATGTAAAAACAACTTCGTGATGTAGTTGCATGCAATCTTTGAACTTTTTAACAAAAGCATGTGTAAGTAAAATTTTTGTAAATTTAATAGCTCATATAAATTAATAAATAGATAATTTAGACTTATTTCTCTTAAATTTTCACGAGATCTAGGCGATGTCTTGAGCGCGACTATGTATGGTACAGTGTTTCGGCCTAAACCTGATTTTGCAGATCATTTGCAGATCAAATAGAGGGAAACTAGTTTCGGAGGGTTTCGGACTTATAAGGCGAAACTAAAATTCCTCTGGGCGAAGCGTTTCGGACTTTGGGGGGAGGTTTAGGCCGAAACACTGGTATGGTAGTGTACGTTGACGAGTATATTTACCATATTTACCAGGTTTGCCCGAAGCTATTATTTTGCCATCTAAGTATATGGCAGAAAAAACTGTACCAGAATCCCCTTTACCAATTATTTGAACATTAGTTAATCAATTAAAGGAAATCCATTCAACTACATCTTCATATCTTGTAGCTTCACGTTGAAATTCTTTAATGCAATTATCAATAGTCTCATTGCCACTTGTCCATCCTTGATTTGTTTTTTTTTAGGATCACATGTCTACTCCAAGCAGAAGAAGTATTATAATGATTGCAATGTTCACATATTCCATTTAAACTACAAAAGTCAACACAAGAGTATGTTGCATAAACTATCTGACCCTAGTACTAATATATTATATCTTTACCTGAGAGGAATAGACAATAAGCATACTCATTTCTAACACCTTTAAACAACTTAAACGCCTAGATGTATATTAAAAAATGACTTGTCAATTCATAATATCAGTTTTGTCATGTAGGTCATACAGAATTTACGTATAGAATTTATAGCATTCCGTATCATTTTTCAATTTATGAATTTATGTCAATTCATAATTGACAATGCATTCGTAAATTAAAATCGGCATCCATTTACTGATCAATAAAAGAAAACTTATGCTAATAATAGATAAAACACATTAAAAAAAAAAAGAACATAAGGCGAAGCAAAGTAAATCATTACATTCTTACCTAAATACTAAATTCTAGCTAAATTTACATAATCAAGCGAATATATTCGTATACAGTATTTTAGTAGTTAGGAATTCTGTATTCACAATAAGATTATCCAAATTAAGTTGTTTTCGATCCTGTGTTCATTGCTTAATTTGTTGCGCAAATTATTTTTAAAAAATTTCTATATAACGAACTTGAGTACCTATCTATCTTGTTTAAGTATGTGTAATTCTTGCAATTCTTCTGTCATACTGATACGAAGAATTTTGAAAGCATTAATAACCCATTATTTGAACGTTTTGTTTACACTAAAAGCCTAGATTTTTTTTAATGCAAGATAGCAAATAAACTTCTTATGTTTAAGGATTTGACGCTATATCCTTGCGGCAAAAGATCGATTAAAGTATAATAAATGGTTTTATTTTGTTTCAGTTCAACTTTAGGAACTTTAAATATATTAACACATAAAAAACACATGTACGTAGCAATAGTCAAAGCCATGTTTTAATACTTCCCAAGATACAGTAGAATCAATGAAAATCGAAATTAGCGTTAAAATCTATTTAGAGTGTCCAAACTTGTGCGATTTCGGGACTTTTCACTGTTTAAACAATGAAATATCCAGAAATTGCATATGTCTCAACACCCTAATCGATCTCAAATCAACACAAGCAACTAAAATAATCTGTCCAGCGTTGATATTCTATTGCTATATCGTAAATTTTATTCATTTTATTCTATGCACTATTATAAACATTAAATATAATAAATTTATTTAATAATTAAGAATTATTTCAAAAAATTTTCATATGTAACAAAAATCGCCATCTGTGAACAAAATCAACACTAATACGTTATTATCAAAATTTCAGATTTTAAAATATTTAAAATTCTATGATGTAATGATTTCCATTATTAATGCAATTAGCTCGTGATTCTAGAAATCTAAATTATAGCCACAAAATAATATATTGTGCGATGCATTAAACCTATTATTGTATAGAGTTATGCACTAATAGGATACGATATTACTGATAATGATAGGTTTGGATTATTCTTATAGCTTCAGCACTACATACTCCGATCTCCGAATTTTATTAGAAATTCTGCTAGAACGCAATTCATACTTTTATGCATATACACTTGATATTTCATTTTATGGGGTTCCCATCTAGCATTAGATAATCAGAAAATAATTCCCGTAAAATAAAGTACTATTTTTTTATTATATTAAAAAAGTTGATATAAATAAGTATATCTTCTAACAGTAATTATGCAAAAAAAAATCTTGACATAATTTTTTATAAGGATCTAGACACCATTTATTTGATAAATCAATCTATCGCTTATCTTGACAATTCAATGAGAATTATCGGAAATTCGTTAACTATGGCAAACTCAAATAATATTTTTTATTTATTTATTTTTATTTTTTTTCCTATGAGTGGATGCCCTCAGACACTTGACTCAAGTAACATTGACCTTATTAATGCGGCTTTTACAGCTGTAATGGGAGCCCACAAGTTTATATCTGAGAAAGAATTTCAAGATAGAAAGGCCCGTGGTAAAACTAATGATGCAACATATAAACAAATTGACTTACACTCATTTCATCAGATAAATCTTGTTGGAAGTAATAAGAATGCTGTCGTCAAAAACATGAACACTGATTTTATGACACACAAATACATAGCACTTGAATGTACTAAGTTGATAATTAGTTACTTTAGTATGAGTGCTTTGGATCCGCCATATGACTACGATTTTACATATATTAAAGATATAGTGACATTCATGCGGGGTGATATACAATATAAAAGACTGTGTGGATGGAAACGCTTCGCTTTAAAGGTTAGTAGGAAGTATGATTACGGTAATGATAAATGGTTTGGTACCGATAAAGATGCCTGGCCAGTATCATATCATGGTACTGCTAAACATAACTCAAAATCGATTACTGAAGGAGGTTACGATTTGAGCAGACGTACATATAGCCGAACAATATGCGACGGAGTTTTTGTTTGATGGAAAGGAATATGTGATAATATTTCAGAACAGAGTAAATCCTGTTAGTTTAAGAAGAATTCCTGTTGGAAATGGCGAGTATTGGGTTTCTGAAAAAGGCGAAGATGTTAGGCCATATGGAATTTGTATTAAAAGAAAGTAATAAATACAGAGTATAATACGTTTTTAAACTCGAAAATATACGGCATTACTGCTTTTACAATTAGTGAACATATGCAATCTATACATGCACTCAAGGTGATATAACAAAGCTAAGCAACTCTAATTGAAATTATAAATCCACACAATTGAAATCACGAAAACGCCCACTATTGCAATTAGAGATGTGCGGTTATGATCGGTTACGATCAGCTATTATTATTATCAGTAGAAGCGGTCGGTTACATAAGGTTAAATGACCGGTCATAACCGATCGATTATTTAATCGATTATTTCCATGTAAACACTTCTAATAAAAGTTAAAGAGGAAGAAATTTCGGTCATAAGGCCATATAAACTTAATTATAATAATTGGTTCTTATAACCCGGCCAGAACAAAATTTTGAAAAAAATTTTTGACTACATTTACTTTCCGGGTGAACTTTTTTTAAAATTTTTGTAAAAAAATTTACATTTATTATAAAACGCACCTATGGTGGGTTTGCACCTATCATATGTTTTATTATGTTTTCTAGATTTAAATTTTGAATATAAAAATTTTCAACACAAAATTTTCATGCTAGTGTTAGTACTGTATTTAAGATTCGGGATAAAATTTGGGAAGGGTTTTTAGGGTCAATATCATCAATGTTCTCAGGAGTTGACATGATTTTAACAAGTTATAATTTAATGATAAGTGAAAAAAAAATGCAACTTTAATATCAACCCATTTGAATTGGGTTTAAATCATGCTGATAGTGATATTAACGAGAAATTATATTAAAGTTGATTTATATGAGGGAATTTTGTTATATACACCTTTTGACACCAAATTCAGACAAAATGACATTTAATTTCAAACAAAATAACATTTAATTTCAGACAAAATGACATTTAATTTCATATAAAATGATATTTAATTTCATACAAAATAATATTTAATTTCATACAAAGTAATATTTAAATTCATACAAGTTGATATTTAAATTCATACAAATTAATATTCAAATTTGTACAAAATAACAATTAAAATAAGATTGATTAAATCATGATATCTTGTGATCTAGTAATCCAGTTTGGAAGATTTTGGTAGCATTCAAATTGCCTCATTAAGAGGATTTGAATGGTACCAAAATCATTAAAATTGGATTACTAAATCGTAAAATATCACAATTTAATCAACTTTATTTTAATTATTATTTTGTATAAATTTAAATGTCAATTTGTATGAATTTGAATGTCATTTTGTATGAAATTAAATGTCATTTTATCTGAAATTAAATGTCATTTTGTTTGAAATTAAATGTCATTTTGTCTGAATTTGGTGTCAAAAGGTGTATCATTTGACAATGCCATGGAAAATACTACTTAGCGTTAGATTATATAAAATTTAAATAATTGTGTTATTACGACTTGGGAAGATTTATGATATTCGTTGCTGAATTTAGTTACTGTTATGAGAGACTTATGAGAATCGTTACTGAATTTAGTTATTGAGGTATAATTGCTAAAGATATATATAACAAAATATCAGTCGATCGAGATATCACGCGAATAAATTTAATCGACATCATGAAATTCTCAATTTTCAAATATATTCAACTTTAAACTTATATAGAAATAATCTACAACGCACGAGCAAAAAAGATTAACAAATAGAATTTTTTATATAGTGTTATATACTATACTAAAATAATCGACAACCTTCATTATAATTTTAGAAACAAGTTAAATTATACGTACTGTACGTAAGTTTTTTTAAATGGTTCCCGTGAAGTTCTCGGTTAGAGATCTTTAAACCATTTGCCCAGTATACGTACTCTTTTTTGACAAGATCTACCATTACAAATTAGGGAAAAAGTTCCTTTATATACTCAATACTAGTAATCCGTCCGATGGTTAACGTTAGAAGGGTCACATAAATTTGGCAAATAATTAGATATTCGGATATTCAGGATTTATTAGGCATTTACAATAAAAAGAATGTGAACTTATATTATCTTTATTTAGGAGAAGAGTTTTGAGAGCGAATATTATCCTCAACTAAAGATGAGAGCAAGCACTTATATTTTTTTAGAGCGTGATCATAACGACTACAGCGTTCTCGCGGTAGCTTCCGCATATTCGCGGTAACCACAGCGTACCACCGCATATTCGTGGTTGCATGAACTAAGTCTTCAACAATACATTATACGGAAGTGAAGAGACACAGGAAAAATTAATTGTTACAATACTAGTAAAGTAACATCCCGCCCGCCCACCTTACGAACATGCACCTTATATATACTTTCATAGGATATCTCTGCGAAATTATATGTTTAGCATTAGATTGCAACAGTGAAAAATTCCAAACGTAGACCCATTCCAATTTTTTATCTATCTACAAAAATAGAATAGATTGTAACATAATGACAGGCTTATTTACCTGTGGCTTTGTTACAGAAATTATATTATAGTGAGTGATGCAGAGTGAAAATTCGCAATTGACGTACTTAAAATCAACCTATAACAACAGTAGAATCAACGTGGCAAGACATTCTCTAGCAATTTCAATGTTCGTTTTGGAAAAAAATAAGCTGTTGATACGAAAGTACAAAGTTGGATCATGATAGGAGGGTGGAAGCAGGTTGTCAAATTGGATACTAAACTTATAGGAGAATTCCTGATCTCAATATGAATACATGTAGGTCGAATTTCATTTATGAATTTTAGATTGGTAGACTTTTATTGCCTTATACAGTATTCGTTAAGTGCGAAAGCTTTTAGTTACTTACATGTTAAATATATTCGACTTGAGATATGGCTACACACGTGTTAAATGCATTTGCTTGAGATATAATATTCCCATATTAAATCCATTTGACTTGAGATATAATGCTCATATTCAAGGTCTAACTACTTACAGTACGTTTAGATTTGAACTCAGGAAACATTAAAGGGCTTAGCATATATGTACCGACGACTCCGTGCAAATGTGACAGAGGAAGTTGTAATTCCAATAATTATAAATATAAAAGGTGAATAAATATTTGTAAAACAGTACTGTTGGCCACTGCAAACAGTGTTTCCCAAAAATAATACCCCGTGATTAAGACCCGGGTATTATTCACTACCCATCTATATTTAATTCCCAAAACATTGTGCCTGGTTCCTCACACAGTACCCACGGGTACTGTCCAATTTTAAAAAGAAGTTCTTGAATGAGACCCCGGGTACTGTATGCAGTGGCCAACGGTAGTATAGATAGTACTTTTATAGCACGTAGGTATGGATAAAAAAAGTATGACTAGTTTTATATTATACTAGCTCTCTGCCCGTGACTTCGTCACGCAAAGATATTTTGGTAGTTTATTGAATATATATATATGCATAAAGTTTATTATTGTAAATATATATTTCTGTAAAAATAATAAATATTTTTTATAAATTTTACAGTATTTGTTATAAATTATATAAATTATAAATGCTTATATGATTTTGTTTATTTTAAAATGTGGATAGAAATTTTTTATACGATTTATAAGTAATTGAATTTTATAATTATTAAATTTACCTATTTGATTTGTTTTAATTTTATAAATTCGAAATTTTATAAGTTAGAAATTAATTAATTTTTATAAGTTATTAATTAAATAATACTAATAATGTAATAATAAATTTAATAAAATAAAAAATGTTGTAATATGTTTACTAATTAGTAATCAGTTTGTTTATTTTGATACAGGTGGGTGTTATATTAATTTAGGCCAGATAATGTGCTAATGTAGGTTAGCTAATATTATATTATTTTGTTAAAATTTGGGTGTGGGATTTTTTGAATTATGGGATTATGTACGGGATCTCGTGTGGTGGTATTATTAATTGGGATAATTTTGTGTTTCTGTAATTGATTAGTAATATTAGCGTTATTTTAATATCTATATGTTTGGTAAGATGTTAAATATTTGGTTAATACGTTTTGGCGATAAAGATATTTATGTCATAGTTTGTATTAAGTTGTTTTGGGTTCGTTTATATATATATATATATTGTGTTAATCGTATATGGAAGTCAGGTAATTAGTTTTTTTTTTGAATTTTCTGTTAAATGTGGTTAGTTTATTTGGTTTAATTCGGTATTTTAGATTGAATTGGTTGTGTCGTCAGGATGATTTAATTTTTAGTGTTTAATAATTATGTTATTTTTTTTGTGTTTGATGAATTTGTAAATATTTTCGTTGGGATATATAGAACGTGAGAGTATCATGATGTAATAGGTCGTTTTTAAGTATATAAGTTATTGTCGTTGTTTTTGTAGTTTAGATTTTTTTTTCGATTTTGTGTGTTTATTAGTTATATTTTTGATAATGCCGTGTTATGCTGATACGATTGTAAGGATTAAATATGCTATTTTTCATGGAAATTAGAAAATAGATTCGTTGGTTGTATGGGCACTTGGTGCTTATCCTGTAGTGCGAGAATATTATGATATTGAAATGTCTTTGTTTGTACCTTTAAACGCGGAAGAAAGGGATTTAGAGACTCAAGCGGTTTTTGAAAAGGATAATTTTTTTTGTGTCGGTGGTAAAATTATTCCTGGGTTTTATAATGGTAGTAAAAGGGCGAAGGTATTTAGTTTTTTATATATTTTTTATCTTTTAATATTAATTTTTGGGTTTGGAATTAGATAATTGTTTCGACTTCTACGCACGTGTCTATTCTTAATAAGGCTGTTGAATCAAACAAATGTCCTTTAAAGGTGTCTTTGGTTGGAGTTCCGCAGGAGATTCCATGCGAGATTAAAGATGATACTGTCATTAAGACATTAGTGACTGATTTTTCTGGACAGGTGCATAATTTTATTATGAAAGTCATTTTGTCATAATTCGCGGTTATCGTGTTTGAAGGATATGATTCGTCCTCATGAATGTTTGATCTTTGTTGTTGGGCAATTAGAGATTTTTGGGAATGAATTTTATTTTATTCTAAAGATGTTAATTATGTTGATACGCGGCTTAACAGTAAGAAGAAAGTTTTGGATGGAAATGTGTCTCAAAATTCTTCAGTTTTTAAAAGTTCGATTCGTTCTAGACTTTTAGCCAGTCATCAAAATATGGTTGGAGATTCTGAAGAAAAGTTAGATAATGGAACTTCGGTTGATTCGAATGATTTTGCAAATAATTCTCATTTAGCGAAACGTGCAAGGGTTGATGATTCTGATGAGTTTTTTGATGGAAGTTCGGTAAATCTTGAATATGAATCTTGTACAAAGGTGGTGATTCTTTATCTGATTGCGATGAAGAAGTAGTGTCAGAATCTGTGAAAGTTAGTAAGGATAAAAAAAAGGGTTGGGTAGTAAAGGTAAAGAACCAGTTGAACGGTCTTTACGCAGTAATTCAGATTCACGCGTGTCGAATTCTGCAAAAGTTTAAATTTGATTTTTATATTTTTGTTTTATTTATTTATTTTTATTATTATATTTAAATTTCGTTTTATTGTTTTTTTTGTCATAGCAGTACATTTGATTATGAGTTATCTTTATTTTTATTATTTTTTATTTTTATTAGTTTTTTTTCTTTGAAATTGTTTTATAATATTAGGTTTGTATTTTTTGTTTTTATTAGTGTTATCAGATTTAGGTTTTAGTAATTGTTTTATTTGGTTTGTTAATAAATAGCTAGTTTATTATATTCATTATTATACAGTAGTGATATAAAATCTAGTTTAGTAGGACTTCTCTGTATACTACATTTCGTGTATAGATACCTTGTTGGCTATGAATTTCACTATTTTTTACCAATACTTTAATATTGTGAAAAGATTTAGCTCTCGAGAAGGTGACGTAAAGCTGGCCGTGTGTGAATATGTGTTTTAGTAAGTAGAGTCCTACATTTGGAATAGTCTGGCCCTGTGATTTGTTAATCGTGAGGGAGAAAGCAAGTTTTATAGGAAATTGTTTTCTTTTTAATGTGAAAGGGAGTTTTACATCATTTGGTGTGGTAAATATTATTCAAGAAAGGAATACTTGTCTGCTTTTATGGTTACCAGTAGTTATTTCTGCTTCAATAACATTGTACTGAATTTTTGACATATTAGTCTAGTACCGTTGTATAAATCATTTTATGGATCTAAGTTTCAAAGACATATGATGGGTGTGTTCATCTTTAGTTTGAGTTCATGCGGGAGGATGTTATTGAGTTTAGAAATTCTTGTTGGTAAAGGTTATGATTATCATCAGGGACAGAATCTAAACTGCGGTACATTATATAATCATTTGGTAAATGGTTCAATATTATATTATTGATATGTTCAACATATTCATTTTTGGTGGTAAGTATAATTTTATCAGTGAAGTAATGGGTATTTAAATATTGGTTTTGGAGAAATGGATATACTGTTTTATAAGAGTTTGTAATGATTCTTTGTTATGCTACTTAATAACCATATTATTTGGGATTTGAATCATGTCATCTTCGATGGTTTGCTTTGTTCCGTTTCCTATTCTTAGTAAAAATTCTTTAAAGTTGTTGGTTTCAGAATCATTTTTACCCGCATATTTTGGTGAAGATGATAAACTTCTATTTTATTCCATAGAGCAGAAGATCTTAGAGTTGCATTTATGATTTGAGCACGACTTCCTCTTGAGATTACAGGTAAAATTTGGCAGAAATCTTCATCAAATATGATGACTTTTCCGCCAAATGGTTTGTCACATTTCATTATATCTTTCAATGTTTTATCTAAGGCTTCTATTGAATAATGATCATTGAAATTTCGTCCCAAATAATTAGTTTGGCTAATTTTAGTAGTTTAGCCAGGTGGCTTTGTTTACTGATTGTGCATGTTGAATCTGGTCCAATGTCTAAAGGGATTTTAAATTTAGAATATGCGATTCGGCCTCCAGGCATTAGCAAAGCTGCTATACCTGATGATGTGGTTGCTAGAGCAATTGAATAAGTTGAACAGATTGCAGCAAGTAGACAAAGATAAATGAATAGTTTTCCAGATCCTGGTTATTAAAATATAAAATATTTAGATTTTAGTTTAGTAAATTTGAGTCTATTTTTTAATTTTGTAATGTAGGATTAATCAGTACTATATTGTTTATTAATTAGGTTCTATGCCATTGTTATTTTAAGGATTAATTGGTTATTGATCAGTCAAGTTGCTATTTCATTCTATTGATTAATATTATATTGATCAATTAAATTATATTTTAATTGTTATTTTATTTGGATAAATCTATTTGTAACAGCCTGTTACATGCTTATTTGTAACAGTTTGATTTATAACTCAAGATAATCTCTTTTGTATTACTAATGAAAAATGATCCTCTTGCAATTTTGAATTAATCTTAACACTAACTCTAAATCTAATCTAACATTAACCTTAACACTAGCCCCACTAACCCTAACACTAACCCTAACATCAATAGGTTGTTACAAATATGCAGTGTAGCAGCTGTTACAATTAGATTTTTTCTAAAATATAATTTATTTTATTTTATTTTATTTTATTTATTAATATTATATAAGAAATAAGGCGTGGCAACTTAGTGTAGTGGTCTTGTTGTCACCCTCTCCAAGTGGCAGGTCTAGTACTCAGCAAAATTAAACTTTTTTTTGACACTCAAATACATGTGATGATCTGGTTTCTAAATCAATACAGCAATATGATAATGCAATAATACAGTAATACAGTATTGCTGTATAGATTTAAAAGTCAGCCTATCACATGTATTTGAGCGTCAAAAAAATGTTTGATTTTGCTGAGCACTAGGCAGGTCTAGAGTTCAAATTCCATAGACAACGAATTTTGGAAAATAGGCTTGTGTTACAGTTAATGGTTGTCATTTATCAGTTGGATCTAGAAAAATCTACAATCTCAGTTACACCATCTAGTAATGGGAACTTTGGCACAATAAATCCAAGGAACCAGAATAACTGAAAACCCATTTGGAAAGTTCCGAGTTAGAGTTCTAATGGCAGAGAACACACTAGCTAAACTGCTAGGTTGTCGCACTAGAGGGAAAGGGCATATTCTCCAAAAGTATGGACCAAGAGAAGAGTGTCCTTTAGGCACCTAAAGCCTAGGCAAACTAACTTTTCCAGATTGTCAGCTAGAAATAAGAGAGAAACTGGTAGAGAATCCGAGTAAGAAGACAGTTGGATTGTGGGTACCAGGGTTTGTTGCGAATCTATACAAGAGCAGAAGTAGGTAACAACAAGAGTTTAATAGTTAGCCTAACCCAAATGCTATGGTGGGATACTACTGAAGTTTGGGTGAATACATGGGTAGAACATGTATCCTAGCATAATTAGACACTAGTTTTACAGAGGTTGGTGTAAATTTCACAAAATGTGGTGCCGCTATTATATCTAGGTACTAAGTTAGTAACTGGGTGAGATTAGGTATGTTGGAAGAATTAGTTATATATATTACGGCACCTGTTATTTAGAAATAGTTCTCATATGCTATTTGTTAACAGGTCTAGAGTTTATCACTTACTAATATGTAATTTGTATGAACCATACTCCTAATAAATACCTGACAAGATAGCCAAAGAAAAAAAAAAATATTATATAAGAAATAAAATATAATTTAATAATTTTAATATTTGTGTTATTATAAAAAATTTAAATAAACTGTAAGCTAAAAAAATTTAAGTTTTTAAAAATTTTTGATTTTTAATAATTTTATTTTGACTGTTAACAAACTTTTAAAAATTCTAAGAATATATACTCTATAATTTTAGTATAAATTTTAGATTAAACTATTATAAACAACTTTTTATAAGTTTTTATAATTTTATAATTAAAATTTTAACTTTAATTAGTAGAGAAACTTTTTTTCTTTTTAAAAATATATAAAAATTTAAAATTTTTTAAAAAGTTTTATAGCAAAACCAAAGTATTTTATATATTGAGTCTGTATTGTTTTACTGATAATCACTTTATAGACACCACATTTCAAAGACAATTATTCATCGACAAGTTCATTTTACTGACAGTTTATTTTCTGAAGCTTATTTCACTGACTAGTTTTTTTTTATCCCTTAAACTGTCAGCAGTTGTGGCTATATTTGAATGCTAAAATGTTAAAATTATTGTTTTTGATCTATTTTTATCAAAATTTAAAATATTTTAAAAAAATTTTATATATTAATATTTAAAAATAAGGATTAATTAGTAAAATTTTTATAATTTTATAAATAAAATTTTAACTTTGTATAATTGCAAAAATTTTTTTTAAAGACAAAAACAAATAAAAATTTAAAAATTAATAAAAAAATATTTTAAAAATTTAATAGTAAAATTTTAGAATTAGCTATATTTCAAACCAAATAACCTTGCTACTATTTAAATTAAATCAAAAATTTTATTTAATATTAATTAAAAATATTTTAATTTTTATTTTAGCTTAGAAATAGGTGAACATATACTTAATAAAATTTTATATTATTGTAAAAAATAAAAAAAAGATATTTTAGCATCCATATTTGGCCGCTGGACGGTTTAAGAGATAAATTACACTAACTTTAACTCTAATTCTAACCCAACTCTAATAATATTGACCAGAATTACTTTGTCTGTAAAATGAGCTTTGGTAAAATAAACTGTTGGTGAAATGAACTTGTTGGTAAGTAATTATCAGTGAAATGTAGTGTCTATAAAGTGATTGTTTATGAGTTGATGAGATCTTATATATATTTAACCTAATTTGTCTTTTTTATATATATTTATATATAATTAAATTTTAATAAATATTAATTAACAATATGTTAAATTTTTAGTTTATCTTAATAATAGAGATATTTATTTTTACTAAAACTTTTAGTAATTTAATAAAAAACATGTTAAAAAAATTTTAGCAAGCAAATTTACTTACTAGATAGTTTAAGAGATAAGAAGCAGTATAAGATTAGTATAATTAAACTGTGAAGATATTATAAACTAGAGTGCTAGAAAGTTTAAATAAGTAATCTTATAGTTGGATTGCAAATATAAATATTTAATATAGACAATATCAAACTAGTAATTATAAACAAGTTGATTAATATAACTAAAAGCCCAATTGGGAAGTTCCAAATTTGGAGGTAGCAGTGAGCTTTGATAGTACTACAGAAAGGCTAAATTTGAACCAAGGCCTGAGATTTGAGAACTAAGCAATTAAGTTCTTAAGTAGGAGGACACACTAGCTGAACTGCCAGATACTAGATACACTAGAGGAAAAGAATACACACTTTAAAAGTATAGACCAAGATAAGAGTGACTGTGAGGTATCTAAAGCTTAAGCAGACTGACTTTT